AAAGCTTCCAATCCCTCTCAATGCCCTAGTTATGTCAACAAAAATAACGGTTTCCAAAGTCAGTTATGAGGAAAGCTTCAAGTCTTTTAATGACACGTGACAAATAGATGCCTTCGCAAATGAAGGATTAGCGTATTTGAAAGTAATTAAGCTCTTCAAGGAAATTAAGTTAGAAAATGGACAACGGAATACGTATTCTCACATCACGTTCCAAGTTTTGCCTAGTTTTCAATACTTGTCCTGTTATCCACTCCCCCAAATAAAACAGCAGCAATTAACGTGGTGAATGCAACGCTCAAGTCACCACCATCAGCGAAAAGTTGAATGGTTTCCATTTCGACGAGGAAATGCTCATACAATTAAGCTCCAAAATTCACCACCCCCCAATTATGACATATTATGACATCTTTTCAAGATGTCAAATCATATCCAATTCCTGATGCGGCAGGGAGAGTAAAATTAATTTAAGGAAAATTTCGACGGAACAGAGAGACTTAAAACTAAGCAGCCCAATTCAACAAGTGAATACTGAATGAAAAAATAAGATAGCAAAAGTACTTTGTGAAGGTTACTGTGGCAAAGAAAAAAAAAAGAAATGAAAAATTCACCGGCTTGATGATCACGTGGTTTGAAGGCGAAGCAGTCAGATAGTTACGCATGTGTTCATAATCCTTTGGCAAAAGATACGTTTTTGGCATGATGCCATAAACATTTTCGCCGAGTCGACGCTGCTGCTTTTCAATGTGCATCCATAAACGGTCCTTTCGTCCAATATGAAATGCTCCAGGATAGTGATTTACCTAAAAAGAAAAGATGAAGCAGGCTAATTTCAGAATGCTTACCAACTTTCTGGTGCGGCTTTAAGGAGCGATATTGACTGCTTTTCAAATGCCTTCCCCAATAGCCAACATAGAACAGAGACTCATCAACAACCTGGAAAAATTTGGCTCATTTTCATAAATTCAACTTATGTCAATCTTCAATGAGTTGAAATGGTCAATGCCCAGATAGGAGTGGAACCTTTAACGTACAGTAAAATGGCTAGCTGCGAGGCAATGTCGCATGACGATGGGCAGAAGGCTATTGTGACACCATGTCAAACGGCTGGTGATCTTCTTATTCGGCTTGGACACTAAAATGACATGAGTTGTGGGTACATGTACACATTCAGCGACGATAAAACATGTTCACGGCAAAGCCTCTTTTACGCTAACGAATAATTCCCTCCGAGTAACGTGGTTTCACCCAGCTGCGATATTTTGAGAAATTCCCCTACATGAGGTTCTGTTAGATGGAGGTTTGTCATATATAATAAACCATTTAAAATAATTTAGTTTCCACTGTTTTGATTTCTTATTTCCTTCCTTCAACATACAACGATACGAAATATGCTGTGTTGACAAAAACTGTTATTCTACAAGATTACATAATGATCTTCTCTGATCCAGTCCTCTGCATACCG